GGGTTCTTGCCTCTCCGAGGAGAAACCCAACCGGGACAGTTTCATGACGGTTGATTCTAACGTGCCGAAGCACGTGGCTGAGCTGAGATCAACGCAAAGCGGGAGGGAAACCTGGGCCACGTAGCGGACGTCTCTTACGGCCCAGCAGCCGGGTCCCGCTTACTCGTCCCCGGGGCAGGCACGCTCTCCTTGCTGGGACGCTCGCTCACCGGGTGACGGGAGCGAGTTACCGAACACGCGGGTGCGCGTTCGCATCCGGGCTGGGGAGGGGGGGGCGTGGATGGGTGCATGCGTCTGAGCTAGCGCCGACGGAATGTGCTTCTTCAAGACAATTCCCTTTATTTGACTGACGTTCGGCGCCACTTTTCATGGCTCCGTTCCTCTCTCAAGCCGTCAAGCGCAGTTACGGCGGCATTGGGGAGGAAAGCAGCCGTAATACCCGCTTTTTAGAGAGCCCCCCCTTAAAACTGAAGTTACTGTTCCGTGTTGCAGCTGATTCAACGTACCGAGCGCCCGGATCCTGCCTCCAAAAGGGCATTTTCACAGTTTCTACCTATCCTAAGGCCCGCGTTTTGCGACCATCCCTTTCTTAACCGTCGCGTTGCCACCTAGTGCCCAAAAGCCGTCAAAGACCGTCACAAGGATCAATTCCGATCGTCCACAACCAGGGTCACGTTCAGCTTTGAAGGCTGGCTTAACACGAGCGAGAAAAGGCAACGCAAAAAGCCGTTAGAAAACCCACCCCCGGTTGCCTGGGTTTCACAAGGACTTGCAGAGAAGATGCAGTGCTCGGGCAGGAGTCTTCCGCAACGCGTTCGGGAAAGGGTTCCCTACCCAACGCTCCTCAGCCATTCAGAACGAGTCCCGGCTTTGTTTTTTCTTTAACATACAAATTCACTTTTGTTAGTCATTACGTTACTTCGGGTTGAAGGGGAAGTAACTGGAAGAGATACAGATACGGGTTAAAATCTTCTCTGTTTAGTGCCTTAGTATGTTCAGGGGAAACTGAGAAATGTTAGCTATTATTTGTACCCACACTGTACAACCTTTAGCTCCGGGCACTCTTTAAAGAGCATCTATTTCTGGCCAAATTTCAGCTTTTCTTCCAGAACTGGTTTCAGTGAGCCATTTATTTTTCTTCTGGAAAGAAGAAAATCTGCTACAGGCTTTGGATGGAGTGAACTTTTAGTTCATCTGGAAAGTAAATTGCAGAATCCAGCAGCTGCATTAAGTAACTCAAAACGACAAATACATCACGGGGTACGGTGGCTGCCCGTAACTTGCATCTACTGGGCCGCAGATAGGTTGGTACTTTCCCACCTGTGATATCAACACTTTTCCAAAAAGACACCACTGTAACTAGTGAGACACCGCAAGGATTGCAAACCGGATTTTTGGTCTACAGAACCTTAAAACTTGTAGTTCACATCTCCTTACCCCACCTAAGTAGCCCAAATCTCCCCAGTTTTAAGGATCTATTGTGCCTATCCACTATACTTTGGGGATTAAACTGTCCCCGAGTTTTAAACAGAGGGGAAGGAGAATATATAGATTTAGATGAAGTAACTCTATTTGCAACGCTTTTCTGACAGAATACTTTGTTTTCCCTGGTAGTAAAAAAACAAACAAGCACTCTTATGTTATCCTTGCTTATAGCTCTTCCCCCATGTAAACAAGCCTCACATTTTTAGCTATTGTAAGTCATCCTTATTACAGATTTCTTACACATCTTGCGTATATTTCAACCCTCTTCTGAGAAGAGGGCAGCAACAATTCAAGCCAGGATTTCTTTTCTTAGAAAAAGAAACTTGCTGTTCCAGATTGCAAGACAAGCAGAAAATGGCAGCCTGATTTGTGTTATCTAGCAGTTGTCAGTTCACTTTAGTTTTTCTGAGATTCACGGTGTGTAAGAACAGCATAGGAAGCCTACAGTCGCAGAGTCGACGGCTCAGAGACACTGAGAAACATGTAATTCATTAAGTAGTATTTCTCTCGTTGAACTGTTACCACTAGCTTACCACCGTGGGAAAAAAAAAAAAAAAGATCTGCAAGATGAAAGAGGTTTGCGCTACTGCAGCGCTCGCCAGAGTCCACTAACGTTCCAAAGAAAGGGCCTTCGCTCTTGGGAGAGCAGAAAATTCCCCCCACAGAGAACGTGGCTGGAAAACCCTACAGTAAACGGACAAATTCTCTCACCTACGGATTTTGAGGGGGGAACCAACAACCCTTGCAACTCCTTAGACAAAACAGTTTAGCAGTGAAGGCCGTCATGTTTTTCCACTACAACCAACCTTCCCCTCATTCCGTGGAGGCTGCCTGTCACACCACACGTTGAGATGGAAGGGGTGTGTCAGGTATGCTTGATAAACGCCAGGGAGGGATTCCCCGTTGCGGCTCTTTCACACCACACCTAAAACCGCCAGAAAACACAAACTAGAAAACCCGGGCCGTTTCCACAGTCTAGGATATTTATTCAGGAATAAATAGGGAACACAACACAAGCATCTCAGCCCTTCCCTCCCGGCTGCTGAGGCAACCTGAAGCCCACCAGGCCGGCGACCTCCTCAGGCGAGCGCTCCCCCCTGCCGTGGTACTCCTGGTGAAGGGCCGCGTGCTGCCGGGCGCTGCGGAGCAGGCAGAGGTAGGAGGCAGCCTGGAAGTGCAGCTCCTGCCGGGCCCGGCACAGCTTCTCGCTGGTGACCTGCCGAGAGGAGGGAACAAAGCCCCGGAGACTTCACCTTCCCCCCGAGGCCACGGGCTCCCGCGCAGGGCGGCGCGGCCGCGGGCAGGGGCGCCCC